CCAAACCGGAAATTTTTTCACAAAATTAAAAAAGCTTTATTTTAATTTTTTTTTTAAATCCACAGTTTTTCTAAAGATATCAAATTGAGACAAAAGACGTATCAAAACTTTGCTTCGCAACTATTTTGATACGTTTTTTGTCTCAATTTGATATCCTTAGAAAAATAATGTCGCTTTTTATTTCAATTTTTATAGATATTTATACTGCTCTCTGAACTTGAATTAGTTAAAAATAATTAATTTGATAGTAAAAAATCAGTCACTGATTCAAATACAGTTAGTTAATAAATTCAAAAAAAAAATTATCGAATTAATAGAAATTTTGTGAAATTCAACTGAAAATAATTAAATTTGTTAAAGAATTTCATTAAAAACTTTTTTAATAAATCGAATTTTCAAAGTATTTTAATTTAATAATTGATAAATAATTGAATTTTATAAAGAGTCACATTCTATTGTATTTTTGTTTCTTAGTGCGAAAATTAATAATTACAATTTTTATTAATTAATTTAAAAAAGATATACACTTAAAATTTTTTAATAAAATTGAATTTTCGCAAAGTTTTTATGAAAATTCTGAAAAATAAGATTTTTGAAATTTTTCAATTCTATTATTTCAAGATAATTGAATTTTTATAAACAAATAATTGAAAATTTTTGAAATAATTAAAATATCTTTTCATTCTATTAAAAATAATTAAATTCTTTTAAAGAATTTTATTTAAATTTTTCGAAAATAATCAAGGAAAGTTAGTCACTGGAATTAGAATTTTATTTTTAAAAATTTCTTCGCAATATATTCAATTATTTTCATAAATAGTAAAACTCATTGCAGAATTCCAATTATTTTTAATACAATTTTAATCAAATTCCTCGAAAAATGGAATTATTATTAAAAGTTTTATTAAAATTCGTCGAAAGAATTCAACTATTTCTAGAAATTGTAAAAAAATTCTTCTCGAGAATTCAATTATTTCTATAAATAGCAAAATTCTTTAGATTTACTAAATTCTTTTGAATATTATTTTTTAAAAATACTCTTCACGAGAATTCAATTATTTTTATAAATTTCCATAAAATTCTAAAAAACAATTCAATTATTTTCAAAAGTAATAAAATTCTTCGCAAAAATTCAATTATTTTTAAAAAATTTTTAAATTCTCCTCAAAATTTCAATTATTTTTATAAATAATTAAATTGATCTCCAGAATTCAATTATTTTCAAAAAATTTTAATAAAATTCTACGCAAACATTTCATTATATTCATAAATAATAAAAATTTCTCAGAAATTCAATTATTTACAAATTATTTTCATAAAAATAATAAAATTATTCATCCAAGACTTTCAATTATTTTCAATTCAATTTTAATAGAATTCGTCGAAAAATGTAATTATTCTTAAAAATTTTATTACAATTTATAAAAGAAATTCAATTATTTTAAAAACCTTTGCCTATATTTTCAATACATTTTTAATTAAATTTCTTCAAATAATTATATTTTTTTGAAAAATTTTGATGAAATTCTTCGTAACAATGCAATTTTTTTCAAAATAATTTTAATAAAATTCTTTGTAGAAATTTAAATAATTTCAAAAATTTGTCAATAGTCAATTATTTTCAATGTCTACTATTTCAATAAAATTCCACAAAAGAATTTAAATATTTAAAATGAAATTTTAATAAAATTCGTCACAAGTATTCAATTATTTTCAAAAGTAATAAAATTCTCCGCAGAAATTTAATTATGGTCGAAAATTTACAAAAATTCTCGTCATAATTTAAATTATCTTTATAAATAATAAAATTTTTCTCCGAAATTAAATTATTTTCAAAAATTTTAATAAAATTCTTTTCAAAATTTCAATTATTTTCAAAAATTTTCCTCAATTTAATGATTTTTAATATCTACTATTTTAAAAAAATTTTCCAACCGACTTCAATTTTTTAAAAAAAAATTCCTTCTTAGGGATTCAATTATTTTCAAAAATAATAAAACTTATCGCAGCATTTCAATTATTTGTAATACAATTTTCATTAAATTTCTCGAAAAATGAAATTATTCTTAAAAATTTTATTAAAATTTGTCAAGAGAATTCAATTATTTAAAAATTTGTTTGTTTAAATTCTTTATGAAAATTTAATTTTACTTTTGAAATTAATTTTTATTTTGAAATTTAATATTCAATTTTTTAATAAAGTATTTATTTTTGTATTTAAATATTTGAATTCTCGTAGAATTTTCTAATAAATAGTGATTTAAAAATGAATTTCAATTAAAATTTTAGATAATAATTGAATATCAAAAGCATTATAACGTATATTTTTAGAAATAATTGAATTTTCAAAAGAGTTTCAAATTAAAATCTTTGAAAATTTGAACTTTTCATACTTTTAATTAAGAATTTTGCAGAATTAATTTTTTTCAAAAAATTTAATGGAATTTTTTTTAATTATTTAAAGTTTTTAATGTTTAATATATTTAATTGCAAAATGTCAGAATAATCGAAATTTCGTAAAATTAAATTCTAAAAAAAGGATTTGAAAATACTCAAAGAACTTTTTCAAAAATTATTTTTAAAAAATTGACTTAAAGAAGAATTTTAGTTCAAAATTCTAGAAATGAATAATCGAAATAATGTTGAAATAATTTTTGAAGAAGTTACAGTAACAAAATATTAAGATTTAATTATTATATGTTATTGAATAAAGACTTTTGAAAACCTTAATATTTCTATGAAAAAGTAATAGTGATTAAATATTTATTTAAAAATAAAGTTTTTTAGAGTCAAGGAAAATGTCAAAGTTTTGTATGGAAATTAGGAAGTTAATTGTACCAATGAATAATCGTTTCTAATAATTTAATAGTATTATTTACTAATTCAAAAGCAAAAAGTCAGTCACTAATTCAAATTAGTAAACATTTTTACTAATTCAAATTTAGTGAGTAAATAATTCAATTATCATAACTAAACTTTCGTGTTAAAAAAATATATGCAACAGTGCATAAATATTGCGACAAGAATCAAACCAGAATCTAATATTTAATTCATCTTTTTATAACTGTCTTATATATATACATGAAAAGAAACATGTTACGTGAAAATATAATTAAAAGCAATGATCAAATTTTATATAACGAACGGAAGTAATATAAACGAAGTTAATAAATTATCAGGAGGAACGTGAGAAAATTTTCAGAAACACAACCCTAATCCCAAAAGCGAGTCGTTGAAACCCTAACGTGGTTGGGATTTTTGCTAATTAGCATATCGAAATTACAAAATAATCGAGCATAGATCGAAGAAGTCTATATATGCAACAGTATAAACTCTCTTTTTTTTCTCTTTCTCTCTTCTATTCTCGCAACAATAAGACTGTATGCTTTCGTAGTCATTTTTCCTATTGTTTGAAACCAGTTCACATACACATTTTTATGGGCGTATCAAATCTAGACTATGCTCCTCTCAGCATCCCTTATTCCCTACGCGAATTATAATTATCGTTCCCCATACATATAAACTCTCATTGATTCTTATTTTTATACTACCTGGATTGTAATTCTTATATGAAACAAAACAAAAACCGTTTCATTTTTAAACTCTCCATTTAAATTTTAACAGATATCACACTAAATTGTCCTTCATTTTTAAAATTTAAATCGTTTTTTTTAACAAATTCATATTCGGTTATCTGTACAACTGTTATATGTATTATAAATTTATAACTATATGTATAAATGCAAAACCAAGTTCTTAATTGTATGTATCAAAAATAGTGTATATACTTATAATTGAATCTAGAGAAATTTGAATTTGTGAAAGTTATTAAAATCTTTATGGTATTTTAATTAAATTATTTCATTCAGGTGAGTAAGTTGAGAAGGGGGGTGAAAAGGGAGGCAAGGGGAGGGGATTTTGCGCGCAAAGTTCCATTTTAGCATCGCGCACGAGAGTGGAAGAGCTGTGAATTGCGTGAAGACGGTTGCAGCATGCTGATTGTTTTACAATGTTACTGAATAATTGCTGGAAAATGGTTTTCGCGGCGACCAAGCGAACGCCGCCACTGATACACTGTATACACGTGGGCCACAACGATGGCCGACGAGATAGGTGCTAAATTCCTCTTTGCTCCGAATTAATCTCGGTTGGAATGTGACTCCCACTATATAGTATGGCTTATGTATATATGTACACTATATATATACTAAACTCAACTTCATGAACTTGCCGGTGCACCGGACTTTCTCTCTTCCCACAAATTGATTCTATAAATCGTCTCAAAATCAATTATAAACTTTTTAATGACTCCTCTCTCTCTCTCTCTCTTTTCTCTCTTTTCTCTTCTCGATATTTCTTTTATTCTCGCAGCAAATGTTTCTTTTTTCTGTAAATTCGAACTTTTCGTTTTTGTAATGCAATAACAAAGTATTTGTAACGTAATAAACAAAGTCTGATACCGTTTATATCTTTAAACTAAAAATTATTAAAATATTAGCCTTATTTTTGAGTTTAACACTAACCGTGTAGAAATTGCAGTAGGATTATCATAGGGGCCTCGTAATATTTGAAAATTTTATTAAAATTTAAAAATATTATTAAAATTTAAAAATTTTATTAAAATTTAAAATTCGTCAAAAGGATACAATTATCTAAAAATTTATAGATAAAATTCTTTATCAGAATTCAATTTTAAGGAACATTCAATTATTCAATAACTTATTTATTTTTTGAATTTAAATAATTGAATTTTCGTGTAATTTTCCAATAAAAATTGATTTAGAAAATGTTTCATATATTAAAATCGTCTAAAATTTGAATTTTTCATACTTTTAACTAACAATTCTGAAGAATAAATTTTTTTTTGAAAAAAGTGTAAATGAATTCTAATTATATTTGTAACGAATTATAATTAAATTTATAACTAATTATAAACTTATTTGTAACTAATCATAATTTTACAACTAATTGAAATTTTTTTTCTATTTTCCATTTTATAGTTGTGGCATTTTTTTCGATGAATACCCTACTTGGACTATACACTCTGCCTGCAAATGAAACGATGGGACTGACTTTAGCAGTCGGTGAGTCATTTTTTTATATTATCTATATTTATATTATTATATTTAAATATTTCAATTATTATTATATTTAAATAGAAGGAATTGATGAAATATATTTTAAAATATCAATAGAAGGATATTTTTAAAAACTTTCTTATATATTCAAAAAATAGTTAACAAATTTGCATTGAAATGAAATTTAAGAAACTTTTACTAAATTAACATTAGTAGAAACTTATGAAGATTCTACAGCAATTTTTACTATTCTCCGAGTAAATTTTTTAAATACATTATTTTAAATTTCGTCGAAAGAATTTAATTATTTAAAAATTTGTTGATAAAATTATTTATGAGAATTCAATTTTAAGAAATCTTTAATTATCCAATTGTATGTTTCTATTTAAATAATTGAATTCTCTTAGAATTTTCTAATAAAAATTGATTTATTAATTAATTTCAGTTAACGTTTTAGATAATAATTGAATTTTGAAAAAGTTACTATTAATTGCAATAATCGAATAACTATTCTCAAAAATTATAATCAAATTTTTTAAAACGATTCAATTATTTTCAAAAAATATTCGAAATCCAGCATTTTCATAAAATTTCACAAAAGAATTCAATTATTTAAAAAAAAAATTGATAAAATTCATCCTAAATTCAATTATTTTTATAAATAATAAAATTTCCACAGAAATACAATTAAATTAGAATAGCATTTTCAAAAAAAATTTTGAAAAAATCAATTATTTAACAAAATTTTTATACAATTTTCCACAATAATTCAATTACTTTCACTAATAATAACAATATTCATGGAAATTTAATTATTTAAATAATTTTTTGATTAGATTCAATTCAATTATTTTCAATAATAAGAACATTTTTCACAGAAATTCAATTTATTCTTTTTAAACATTTTAATAAAATTTTTCGCAATAATTCAATTATTTTCATAAATAATAAAATTCTTCTCAGGAATTCAAATATTTTTGAGAATTTTAATAAAATTATTTGCAACCCATCAATTGTTTTCATAAATAATTCTTCAAAAAATTCAATTATGTCGATAAATAATAAAATTATTCCCGAAAATTCAATTATTTTTAGGCATTTTAATAAAATTCTTTGCCAAATTCAATTATTTTTAAAAGTAATAAATTTTTTTCTGGAAATTCAATTATTTTCAAATATTTTAATAAAATTCTTCCCAAGAATTCAATTATTTTCATAATTAATAAAACTTATCGCAGATTTTCAATTATTTTCAATACAATTTTAATAGAATTCGTCGAAAAGTTTAATTATTCTTAAAAATTTTATTAAAATTTATCAAAGAAATTCAATTATTTTAAAAAACCTTTGCCCATGTTACCAAAAAATTTTTAATTACATTTCTTCAAAGAATTAAATTATTTTCAAAAATTTTGATGAAATTCTTTGTAAAAATTCAATATTTTTTCAAAATAATTTAAATAAAATTCTTCGTAGAAATTTAAATAATTTCAATTAAATTTGTCAAAATTCAATTATTTTCAATGTCTTCTATTTCAATAAAATTTCATAAAAGAATTCAATTATTTAAAAAGAAATTTTAATAAAATTCGTCTCAAGAATTCAATTATTTTCAAAAGAAAGATAATTTTTTTATTTAAAAAACTGTTTTTCTTAAATTCTTTGGAAAAATTCAATTTTTTACAAAAATATTAGAATTTTTCACAGGAATTCAATAATTATTTTTAAATATTTTAATAAAATTCTTCCCAAGAATTCAATTATTTTTATAATTAATAAAACTCATCGCAGATTTTCAATTATTTTCAATACAATTTTAATGGAATTCCTTGAAAAATTTAATTATTCTTAAAAATTTTATTAAAATTTATCAAACAAATTCAATTATTTTAAAAACCTTTGCCCATGTTACCAAAAAATTTTTAATAACATTTCTTCAAAGAATTAAATTATTTTCAAAAATTTTGATGAAATTCTTTGTAAAAATTCAATATTTTTTCAAAATAATTTAAATAAAATTCTTTGTAGAAATTTAATTTAAAAATTTTTTTTTTTATTTTTAAATTTTTTATTTAATTTAATTTTTATAATTTAATTTTTTTTTATTTAATTTAATTTTTAATTTATTTAATTTTATTTTTTAATTTTTTTTTTATTTAAATTTAAATTTCAATTAAATTTGTCAAAATTCAATTATTTTCAATGTCTTCTATTTCAATGAAATTTCATAAAAGAATTCAATTATTTAAAAAGAAATTTTAATAAAATTCGTCTCAAGAATTCAATTATTTTCAAAAGAAATATAATTTTTTTATTATTTAAAAAACTGTTTTTCTTAAATTCTTTGGAAAAATTCAATTTTTTACAAAAATATTAGAATTTTTCACAGGAATTCAATTATTTTCAAATATTTTAATAAAATTCTTCCCAAGAATTCAATTATTTACATAAATAATTCTTCGAAAGAATTTAATTATTAAAGATGAATAAAAAAATTATTTCCGAAAATTCAATTATTTTGAGAAATTTTAATAAAATTCTTTGCAAAATTCAATTTTTTTCATAAATAACAATATTCATCACAAGAATTCAATGTTTTATTAAATATTAATATTAAATTGACATCAAAACGTTTCTTTCACAGTTTTCTTAAAAGTATCAAATTAATATCAAAGTGTATCAAATCGATACCAAAAAGTTAGATTAATTTTTAATTTAATCCACATTTTTGATATCAATGTATTGTAATTTGATACTTTTTTTTTTACTTTGATACTTTTTTAATTTGATACTTTTTAGTCAAAAAGTGATTGTAAATATAGTAGCTTACAATTTACTGGGTTGTAAAAAAAATAAATAAACCTTGAGGCCTAATGATTCGAATGAGGGGCAAAAGGGGTATATTTTTATCGAAAGAAGAAATAGGAGTATGGCGCAGCATTCATTAAAAAAAAAAAAGAAAAAAAAATAGTCGCGTGGTATATCCTGGGAACACTCAAAGCTATCTGTCAATCCGTCTTTAGATTCAAAAGGAGATTCGGATTAATGGTTTGCATCCATGATCGGAAGGATCGTCCCATGCATCCGGACGCGAGGAACCCACGGTACAATGGTCCCAATACAATGAGAGGAAATATCCAAGATATGCAAAATAGCGTTCCGATCATCTTCGAAAGGGCGGAGGGTGGAAAAGTGGTAAAGAGGGGGGGCAAAGGGGGGGAGGGATCTAAAGCGCGAAGAGGGTACAGAAGAAGGGTTCGGAGACGAACACATGTTTAGACATTTGCATAGCTCCCAGTAATTTACATACGAAGAAATTTGCATCGTCCATGCATTTGCGCAGGCGACCCAGGTTTATAAACTTCTTTCTCTGTCACTGTCCATATCTATTGAATGTACAGACGATCCGAAGGGCGAGAGCGTCATTCTTCAAAGAAGGAATAATAATATATTAAGGGGTAAAATGCTACTAATGCCTTTATATGTCCCAATGGGTTGGATATAATTTTCCCCTCTCTGGAAAGTTTTGTAATGTGTTTTTTCCAAGGTTTTCAAAAGGTGTCACCTGAAGTGGTTGCTGATCTTTCTGATTCGAGTGGTTCAATCACTGCTATTCATATTTTTTTTTGTTCTCATTGTATATGTACTCTCAAACATATTTAATAGTTTATTTTTTTTGTCGTCTATACACTATCACTAAGGGGAAAAAGTTTACTTTGTCTAAACAAACAAATTTTATCTTAACAAAATTTTTTTATTTTTTAACAAAAATTTTGTTCGAATTTAAAACTAACTCTCTAATTCTGAATTAGTAGTTTTCTACTAATGAATTAGTGCGATTGAATTAGTAAAAAATACGTTCTACTAATTGAATTAGTAAGTTTCTTCTAGCAATTAGTAAAAAAACTACTAAAAATTAGTAAAAAATGTTACTAATTCAAATTGGTAAATGAATCCGCACTAATTCAGAATTTCAGATTTAGAGAGAACAAGACTACTTTTTTTTAAAATTCATTGGTTCGAGCCCTGATAATTCTAAATAATCTTTATGATAAATCATAAAGAATTATAGAATTTTTTTTTTCTTGTATTTTTCTGCATAATTCTCAAATAGAAAAGAAAAATATGATAAATGAAGAACTTGTTGGAAATAAAGTATATATAATAATAACCGATGATAATTTAGGATTCGAATAAAAATTTTCTAATTCTTATAATATCTCTTTAGCCTTGGAAGTGGCACGTCTATGAATTTAATTTTTGTTTTCAATATCAATATAATGCTCATTTTTTTTTCTCTCCCGTGAAGAATAGAAAATAAAATTCCCTGAGGGGTTCGATGATAGAAATCATAAAATCGGAAAAGTCATTGGAGAGGAAGCATTGTTGGTTGAAAGTTATGTAATATATCTAGATCGAAAGAAATGCGTGGCGCGTTTCAAGCGGAAAGCGATATCCATTCAACAAATGTCTTCTACAATATATATATATAGTTATAGGTGACAGGGAATAGGAAATATGAGACGATGGTGCTTCCAACAATAGACGACAGGTAAAAACACTCCCGAAAATCCACAGAGCGTATTTTCCTCAAAATTTATATGAAACTAAAAAAGTCATTTTGACGTATATCTGAAGGTTTTTCAAGGTTCGATTATTAGTAACTATTATACCAAATATAGATAAACCTGGCAAATCTCGAGTTCAAATGCAAAACCTCAACCTTCAAATTTTTCAATTTCTGACAAAAATTTCTTCTTAAATAACTTTCATGTTGAACAACAATAAAATAAATAAATTATTTAATGAGTGATTTTACTTAAATATATCAAAATTATTTCAATTTTAAAAGAGTTGCGTTTACAATTTTCATAAATAAATGAACTTCAAATTGTTTAAATTGGAAATTTTTATTAAATTTCAATGTTGAATGAATTTAATTAGAAATTTTAAAGAACTTGGATTTTTGAAAAATTTTAATAATTCAAAATCTTCTCAAATTAGTT